GCACTTGGCCAACCACTCACATTAGGAACTGGTTCCAGCGGGGTGTTTTTTGGCCAATAAAACGCTATCGCGCCACCACGTAGCTGTTATCTTCCCACCTTAGTGCTCTTGCCTCATCCACCGTGGCCTGGGAGGCGGCGGTGTGTAGACGAAAATTTTCACTCCGTCCTTCCAGAAACTACATGCCGACAAACGTCAGCCAACGCGCCTTTGGTGAACGCCAGCGGGGATGAAGACGGAACTGTACCGCTCATCGTCATCCTAGGGCTACTCACATCCCCTGAAACCCCCCCCACACACCATCTCCTCCCTCTCTCCCTTCCCCGTTGGCAGACGAAAGGGTTACCTGCTCTATCTTCGTGTCTCAGTTTGGAAATTCAAACTTCGAAATTTCAAACTTTCTCCAAACTTAGCTCGGCAGACTCCTTTTCCCATTCTATCCTAGCGCGACCCGTGCCGAGCCTCCATGCGGTGCGGAGTGGGTCTCTGGTTTGGTAAACACCCCGTCAGCCAATCATGGTGCGATTTCCAACCTTCACGCTTGCTCTTTCATTAGTGTTACATTCGTTCATGGTTTAGCCCGCTTTTTTGTCACCTCGCCCGCATGTATTTAAATAGGCAGGCTGGCAACTAGCTGGCTATACGTTTGTCGTCCGTTCTATTTTATTCACACCTAGCTGAAGATGGCACGCGGTCATGCTCGAGATCTCGTCCCTGCATCAATGCGTTCGTTGCAGACTAGGCAGGCTCTGCCTCGGACCAGCAAAACCAATCATAAGTATATTGGGAACAACTCCACCGTCGGTAAGTTCACTTGTGTGTATGTGTGTTTCTGTTTTTTGTTTGTTTTTAATTGCTCATATACTATTTGTAAACCTGACGGTTCTCACTTGTCTTAAACTATGTCTAACCCACGTTTCTGTAAACCTGATTGTCGCAGAAGCCAGTCACGAAGACGAGGCCGACATCCTACCGCCTCGTCGCCATGGTACCGGCCAACGTGCCAAGCACGCGAGGCGGAGCCTCGATGACGTCAATAACGGCTCCGCCGGTGGGACAACCGTGCAGGCTCAGGGAGCAGGTGTGAAGACTAAATCCGACTCCCGTCGCCCGCCATTGAACGCTTCTGCCGCTGATGGAAATGCCGTGGCGGTCGGTGGTTCCTCCTCTGCCTCGGTTCCCCCGGCTGGTGCTGTGAACGCTGCTTCCCCTGCTGCTGTTGCTACTGCTGCTCCCGGATCTCCCATTTCTGCGGCAGCTGTTGCTGCAGCTCCCGGGTCTCCCCCTGCTGCTGCTTCCGACGGTGGTGCCCCTGGTGGTGGTGATGTTGCCCCCAATGTTGTTGTCTCTGCCAAGAAAGATGCTCCTGAGGAAGGTGCGTGTGCCCTTTTGCTGTTTTGATTTCCTTTTGCTCACCGGTATAACTAGATCGGAGCTATTGCGCCGTGCATGATTTTGTGAGTATAACACTTAAAAAGATCCTGTTTTGCTCTTGCCTTTTTCCCACCAACAGGAAACGCCGATCAATCCCCGATGGAGATGATTATGACCCGCGCGAAAGGGCAAGTGTACACAACTGATGCCGCTCGGTTTGACGAGGAGGCGCGCGCCGAACCTGATGTGAATGAGGAGCTGCGCATCAAGGCGGAGAGTCAGAAGGCGATTGCAGGGGTTTATCAGAAGGAGAACGGGCGCCTCGCTGAAGAAATGAAAAGCGCCCTGGTGCTTTTAACGCACCTTGCTAAGAAGGTCCAGCAAGTGGACCAGTCGCAGCTCGACTGGAAGGTACATTTTCATATCAAAGTTTTGGTTTTGGTCAAAGTCAGTGTTGAGTTTTACACCTTCTGACTTTCTAACTACGCTAATTTTCAGAAATACATCAAGGAAGCTTGCGACGATTTCCTGTTCAAGCAGGAGACGCTCAACCTCAACCCCGACTCTGAAACCATGCTCAATGCTTTGATCAGTAAGTACTGCCATCTATTTGTCTGACTACGATTCTGTTAACTACTATTGCTTACTACCCGTTGGTCGTGTGCAGGGAAGGCGGGATACACCACCGAGTCACCCGAAGGACTGCAAGTGGCTGCGATTGCCAAGTCCCAGGGCAAGCTCAAGTATGCGAGCGAGCGGTTCAACGACCGTATTGGGAAGATTTACCGCTTCTGTCGCTGTTACGGTTTGAGCCGTGAGCCTTGCATCTTCATGAGGGAAAAGCGCACCCTTAAGGGCGAGCTTACCTTCGCCGAGCTCGAGGACTTCGCGAAGCTGTGCGTGAACTACATGACTAACAACTCCGACCGTAAGTGTTTAAAGATAGTACATCGTAGTTGTCAGTTTCGCATCTGTTTTAACCACCCTTTCGTACATTTCGCAGTGTTTTTGGGCACCTATTGGCATGTGTGGGAGGGCACGCCGTTCTCCAGTCCAGGGTTTGTCAAGTGCGCTGCTCTCTGGGACTCCGAATTTGACAGAAGTCTTCCCATCGCCCTGTTTCCTGACCAGCTGCTTGTCATCCTTGCTGCGGTAGGTTACTAACGTTTTTTCAGTTTGTGGTATACACGACTTTTTTCCAACGGTTTGTGCGATGTATATGTATCAGGTGCAGTTCAAGCTTCGTTATCTGCACGACAAAGCCCAGTTCAAGCGGTCCGGGGACCCGGCTGCTTTTTCCAGGCAGGCAAGGGTGGTGCAGCGCTGGATCAATGAGGGTCCTGTTACACGTGACGGGGATTGTGTTGGCATTGGCAGCATCTGCATTGTTGGATGGAAGGAGATCCCCGAAGCTGAGCTGGAGGCAGATGAACTTGGTGATTTGACCCGACAGGACCTCACCTCTAGGGCCTCCTATCGCAGGGTTTATAACGAGAACGAAGTGCAGGCGGAGCTGTACTAGAACGCTATTTTAGTAATAGTAGTTTTAGTACATGTACCCCTTAATAATATGAAATGTTATTTCTCTTAATTGTGTTTCCTGTGTGTACCAATTTTAAATATAGCTAATTAGAAACCTATGTCAGAATGTTGTATTTGTCTAGCCTGCAGTGGGGTACTCTATAGCGAGTACAGCCCAATCTAGGGTTCCTATATGTACTCAACTGCTTGCTAGTGCAACTCCTCTTTCTGCCTCTAAACTTTCTACTACCTATCTTGACATGGTATCAGAGCAGGTCGACCCCCTTGGGTCGATCCTGTGGGTGGGCCCACCACCTAATGCTTCCGCTGCTGTTCTACTTGTCGCGCGCCTCGGTCGCGCGACGCCTCCTTCCTGCCGCGCGCGCCGGTCGCGGCGAAATTTTTTTAAGGTTTTCATCCCGCCGTACGCTCGGGGCGTGCGGCGGTTTTCTGCCTGCCGTGCGCCCCGAGGCGCGCGGCGGTTTCCCACCGTCGAAGTGCCCCCCGTCGCCCGTCGAAGCGCCCCCCGTCGCCCGTCGAAACGCCCCCGTCGCCCGTCGGAGCGCCCCCCGTCGCCCGTCGAAACGTCCCCGTCGCCCGTCGAAGCGCCCCTGGGACCCGCGCGCGGCCCGTACGGGCTGCGCCAGGCCCGCGCGCGGCCCGTACGGGCTGCGCCAGGCCCGCGCGCGGCCCGTACGGGCTGCGCCAGGCCCGCGCGCGGCCCGTACAGCCCGCGCGCGGCCCGTACGGGCTGCGCCAGGCCCGCGCGCGGCCCGGGCAGCCCGCGCGCGCCTCGTCCCGCCTGCGGCAGACCCGTGCGCGCGCCTCGTCCGTCCCCCAAGCTTCTGTCGGCGCCCCACCCCCGCTACTGCCCGCGTTCCTGTGTTAGGGTTTGGGGGTGGCGGGTGTGGGGGTGCCGGTTGTGTGCCCCGTCCCCTCCTTCTCCTCCTCCTCCGTCTCCCGCTGCTGCAGCTGCCGCTCAGGGGGGTGGGTGTGTGGGGAGCCGACGGAGTGGTACTAGGGGGGTGAAAGGGGAGTGGAGCTAGGGGCGAAGCAGGGGGTGTGTGTCGAGGGGTGTGGGACTGTTGGGGGAGGTTGAGCGGAGGCCGCCGTCGTGTCGTCTGCAGCGCCTGTATTCCGGGGTTCTGATAGCCACCGGTAGCTCAGAGAGCCGGTTGCACCTGTCGCCCGTGGGTCCGTTGCTCCTGTCGCTGCTGATCAGACGCAGAGCCTGTTACTCCTGTATTCCGGGGCCCTTGCTCCCGGTAGCCACTAGAGCTGCACCAGAGCCGTCTGTTGCCCGTGTGTCTGCAGCTTCAGTCGTCGCCTCCACTCCTCTCTCCCCTCGCCAGCCCTCCTCCTCCTCACTTGCCCTGTGTGACTGCCTCTAGCTTTGCTCATAAAATGTGAACTACTATTATGACTGCTTGTTGTGCTGATTACACCCCACTTTGGCTATGGGGGTGTGTCAGAATGTTGTATTTGTCTAGCCTGCAGTGGGGTACTCTATAGCGAGTACAGCCCAATCTAGGGTTTGCTATTTGTATCTCAACTGCTGCTAGTCCAAACTCTCTTTCTGTTTCTAAACTTTGCCTACTACTTCTGACAAGAAGAAATGGTGCAGCGGCGAAGCTGAGACCGGGAAGCTGTGGATTTTACGTGACGTGATAGGCACGGCGGGCTGCAAAACGGTTGGGCGATAGTTTCTTTTTAACTAAGGCTACCCCGACTCCGATAGTTTTTGCCTCTCCACCGTGGCCGAGTTCGCGTGGGCAACAACGACGATACCCCATCCGACAAAAGCGGACGCTGGGTGAACGGCGGGAAGCGGAATTGTCGGGGGGTGAATACGAAAAAATTGATGACGACGGAGGGAAAGTTGTGGGTGATCCAGCAGATCACTTGAGTGATAGGTTGAGAACGTGCACCAATCCACCGTGAATTTCGGAGTCTATTCGGTAGACACCCGAAAGGGTTTGATATTGTTACATGGAGGCGCGGCGAGCGGTACATTGCCAAGGATACCTGGGATTCGCTAAGTGGTTCCGACTGGTATGAAGATGGGTGAAGATCTGAGTACCAGGGTTAACGGCGGAAACGTCGGGGCTACACGGCGGAGAATGACTTCGGGACTGCTGCCCCAACCACGATTTTCGTGGTTATCTTCCAACGAAAAAAAAAAGGAAAAGAGTTGAAGCTGAGGGTGTTTCTTCGCTTCCTGGAGTGCGGTTGAGCCGTTGGGGGACTCGCCTGAAGGGACACTTTTAAGTCGCCTGGCAAGAAACACAGCGGCGGGGATACCTAGAACCCACTGGTGTTTAAACGTACACCGCGGGAAATTCTTCAGGGAGCGTGGGAGCAGCCGAAGTTTCGGGATTTACCTGCCGATGACGAGCGATGAGGTGAAACATCGCAAAGCGCCAGTGGGAGTTTGCGTGGTTTTTAGTTAAACTTCAACGGCGGGAGCAGTTTCGACGACGGGGTCAACGGCGTTGATGCCACTAGGTTCCGTGAAATTCGGTCTCGGAAGACCCAGGGCAGTCCCCGGTTCTCGATTGAACCCACACGCTGGGGTCGGGTAACCGAAGGAAACTGATGGTGACCGGGTGGGCGGCTATAGCACGTCCGAGATTTTCGGAGGCGAACTGCACCTGCAACTGCGGATTTACGGGGCTACTTTTCTGGCGACAATTTCGGAGTTCGACGAAGGACTTACCAGTTTTACGGCGGGAAGCGCCGACATTTTCGAGGAATTTCATCGGCGTTTGGTTAAACGCGCGCGGCATTGACGTCGTGCAACAGCGCGAGAACTACACGGATTTTCTCAGGGGTACGAACGACTTACGACGAACTGACTGAGGCGGCAGCAACAGTGACGGGGGGGGAGACAGCTGCAAATTTTCATCCCTGCCCACGAACTCTCGGCGGATTACGACAAAACTCTCGGAGAATCCATTCGAACTCTGCTTCTGACAACTCGCCATCGACCCGCCCACGACAAACATATTTAATTTCAGCCACGTCAGGTGCTGCCAGCGCAACAACTGCTGAAGATTCTGCAAGATTCTGGCACGTGAAGACAAAACAGGTTCAATTCGAGTATTCGATAAAATGAGTTTCGGTTTTTGGGCTACATCTTCTGGTTCGCCCTCGACGATTTTTGGGGCACGACACACCGGTTTCGTCATCGAAATTTCCACACCGACACATTTTCATCTAGTTTCCTACGCTTAACACTCGTCTCAGTGCGACTTAACACCTGGTTTCATTGGTTTTCACTTCGGCGCTGCTGCGGGACATTTTCTGGTGTGTTTCTCTTGGAGGGGGGGAGAACGTGCTTTGCACTGTTTCTTTCCTTGGCGTTTTCTCGTTTCCTCGGTCCTTTTCTGACTTTGTCAGGTTGAGTCGGCACGACGGACGACTACGATTGCCGCTTCACAATCAACGGTTCCTGATTGATCGCGATTGAATTTCGCGTCAGTCTGTTCCCTCCAAAATCGCATCTGCCTCGACCGTCAGATTCGCACCTGCTCGATCAACGGCCCACATTCCAACTTCCACTTCATTTTGGGCCAGTTCATCTTCATACGTCAGATCGAAATCTGACTACATCAACGGCCGACATTCCAACCTTTTCAACAATATTGCCTAAGGCATTCCAGCCGTCGGATTCAGCTCCTGTGAAGATCTACGGCATCCTCGCTAGTGTGGGGCCTGTTTCAGTATAGGGCTGCCTTATTTAGGAGGTGGGAGAGTGTAAGGATTTACAAATCCTTACTGAGGCACTCGTTAGCGAGGCCATCCCGAGGGCCACGCGACGAACCTGTCTTGCCTATTTCGTCGCACCGAACCACTCCCGAGTCAGCCTCTGCTCCAATTGCAACCATCACCGAGCCATCCCATTCCGAACCCCCCGCCTAGCTAGCATTTCCCCTATTTAGGCCTCGCTACTTCATTGTTTCGTCATTCTGTAATTCTCATTCTCGTTATTCGATATCTGCGCACAGAACAAGTTCATTAATAACATTGTTGAAATCGTGAGATCTAAATTGCATATTGTAGGCTACGTTAAGACACTCCAGATCCAACTTGAATGAGGTCATTTGGAGCTGTGACCAGATCGCTATGAACGTTTGAAGCCGCTGTGAAAAAATCTGACTGTGCACTCTATCTTTCGTTTTAGGCACATTGAAGCCTATTGTGACTATAACACGAACTCGGCTTCTCCTCCTCAGCTGCTGCCATAACTAGTGTTAGGTACCCCATGCTGCTCTCGTTCACCATCCACTCGAACCGTGTTGTATCCGTCCAGCTTCGTAGCTCCACACGTTTCCCGTTGTTGTAGATGCACGCCTTCTTGTTGACCTAGTCAATTTCAGGGTTTAACCGCTTCAAGAAATATCATCCCAAATGAAATCTAACCCCTTGATGTTCGTGATCAGCAACGTCGGCTTCCATCTCAACGCACCTATATGCAGCTGCAGTGATGCTTCACAGTGGATGGGAAGCTTTGTACCGTCCACCATCGTTGATGAGAACCGACTCTTCTACGAAGAATCCCCTGTTTACTCCAACGCCCACGGTCACACATCGAGTGGGACGCACCGCTGTCCACCAGTGCCTGGAGGCGTCGTCCTTTGCATAACACCCTGAGGAGTAGTGGTCTCTTTTGCGCTGAGTAGCCAAAGATAGTCTCATTAATAGGATTATAGGGTACATCAAAATAATCACATTCACTATTTTCTATACCTAACTCAGCACTCTTAGGGTGTGTCAGGCCCTTTGAAACATGTTTTGACCGATTATTGTCGACCATTTTTATCGTCATTTTTTCGCGAACGTCGACATCTTAGCCGAATTCGAGTCGACTACATGTCGGATTGATGTCGATTTTTTTTTAAACCCGTGGGTCAAGAAGGCCAAATTTGGCTCATCCTTCCTAATGTTGGTTGGGTGTCCCAAAAACGTCCGTGCTGATTCCCAATTTCTGAGACCTAGGCC